GAAAATAATTCAACTGTTAAAACGCAAAAATTCGGACATTTGTTGAAAGAAAAAATGCGTTAAAAGAAAAAAAAATAACGTTCGCTATAACGCGTTTTTTACTTAATTTTGACTGCTAGGGCACTTAGTAAAAGTTTAAGCATAGCGAAAGATTTTGCACCGAAAATTGTGTCTGATAACTCTCTTGGGACCATGCAAGAATCGAAACCTAAATTTAGATTTTCCATGGAAAATTGTCACTCATGATCTCTTAGAACTAACTAAAACTTCCAAAACTAAAGATTTTCCGTGGAGGGTTGAATGTAATGGTTTTGTTACAACTAACTAAAGCTTAAACGTAACTTAAGATTTTCTTGAGGAGTTATTCAGTGAAACTGGAAATTTGACGTGATCTCCTGGACCCATTTCTAAACCCTTTATGGGTTTATGACTATTTTCTAAACCCTTCATCGGTTTATGAGCATTTTCTAAACCCTTCATCGGTTTATGAGCATTTTCTAAACCCTTTTCTAAACTCTTGATGGGTTTATGAGCGTTTCCTAAACCCTTTTCTAAACTCTTGATGCGTTTATGAGCGTTTCCTAAACCCTTTTTGAACGTTTGTGGAAGGGTTTATTGATTTCCTAAACCCTTTGAAAGGGTATATGAAAGGGTTTATGAACTTCCTAAACCCTTAAAAGGGTTGTTGAAAGTGTAACGTATAATAAACCCTTAAAGGGTTTATGAGCTTCCTAAACCCTTTCCTAAACCCTTTTAAAGGGTTTAGGAAAATTTTACATACGGTAAAAAGGGTTTATTATACGTTACACTTTCATCAACCCTTTTAGGGTTTATTATTCTACGAATTTTTTTTACAGTGTAGATGACAAACTATTTTCATGCCTTCTTTTACATGTTTTGTTTTCAAAAATAATTACTTTTAAAACGATTTTCTCTTATAGATTATTGGAATCAAAAGGCATTTTCCACTATCTTCTTTGAATTGATGAAAACTACAAGTCTCTAATTGCTTGTGAGTTCTCGAGTTCTTTAAAAAACTATTGAAGTACATTCTATTTTGACATAGATAATAGTTTCTGTTACTATAAATATCACTGTGATATGAAAGCTCAACAAAATTCTAGATTCATTGATTTATTAAAAATAAAATAGAATTATTCAGTTAAAAGAAAATTCAGTAGGTCGATCATTGCTTGTTTTTTTGATGATAAACTTTGATTTGTTCATCTATTGCTTCCCGTCTAATTGCTTCTTCTGTTTTGCCTTTCATTATATTAGCCCATAAACGATCATTTCCCAATGTTAAACCTTCAAATGATTGCCCATCTTCACTCAAAGTAATTCTATATTGATCGAGAGCAATTAAACCTTCAGCACTGACGTCTTTTCTCACACCCTGAAACTCCATTTGACATTTATCTCTATGAAATGTACCTTCGACAAATTCTCGACCATAATCTCCAATGCGATGAAGAATATGTGAATTTTCTGGAGCTTTTTCTAGCGACCATAAAATACAACCTTCAATTGGCACAGTTTCTATTTCTTCCTTGTAATCACCTTTTGATTTTAAGAGTCATCTTGAAATCATATGTGTAACCACGTGTTGGATTTATCCATTTACCGACAAATTTGAATTCATCAGATGAAATGAATGCATCGATTCCTATCTTGAGGAATTTTACTAAATTATCAAGACAGTAATACTGAGCTTCACGTAAAAGTTCATTTTGAACAATTCGATCAGAAGGAATATCAATGTAGTTATCACGTAAATAATTCAAGATGTATCTGTTAGCGGTGAATGAACATCATTCATCTCCCTCGATCTCTCTACCTTTTCTTTCTATCTTTTTCTTTGTTATCTAAGTCTATGTTCGTTTCTTTCTTTTTTGTTTTCCTTTTCGTTTTCTTGTATATAGATATGTACTTAAATTTAAGGGCAGGGGGGGATTAAAAAAATAAACATAAGCTCGTCGAAGCGAGCTAACAATTTGGTGCCGTGACCGATCTTCTTCTATTTACTACATCGAAGAAGAACGAACTTATGAATTAATTTACTCATCCGTGACGGAAAGAGTGACGTATCATCTCATCTGTCTAGGAAAGAGAGAATGGCATAGAAAATGTCGAAAAAAAAAATGTCGAAAGTAAAAACGTCGAAAAAAAAAGGTCGAAAAAGAAAATGTCGAAACAAAAAATGCCGAAATAAAAAAGGTCGAAAAAAAAAGGTCGAAAAAAAAAACGTCGAAAGAAAAATGATCGAAAGATAAACATATCGAAAGAAAAAATA